CAGCCAGCCAGCCACCAAAGTACCCGGCGGAATCAGCCAGCCAGCCAACTAAAAAGTAGCCGGCGGAATCAGCCAGCCAGCCACCAAAGTAACCGGCGGCTGGCGGAATCAGCCACCAAAGTATCCGGCGGCTGGCGGAATCAGCCACCTAAAGTATCCGGCGGCTGGCGGAATCAGCCGCCTAAAGTATCCGGCGGCTGGCGGAATCTGACTTAGGCCCCGAACTTCAGGGTCTATACAAAGTGCTGCACCTGCCACGACATCTGCACATGGAGGTTCACAAAGTGCTGCACCTGCCACGAAATCTGCACATGGAGGTTCACAAAGTGCTGCACCTGCCACGAAATCTGCACATGGAGGTTCACAAAGTGTTGTGCCTGCCACGAAATCTGCACATGCAGGTTCACAAAGTGCTGTGCCTGCCACGAAATCTGCGCTTCAAGAAACAAGTGAAAACTCTAATCCCAATGGACGGACGATTCCGACCATGCCCGAGAATGACCCGAGACCGTCTCGCAACCGTCGTTCCGCAGACCTTGACTTGCCAGCTTCGGAGCCACCGGTTCCATTGAAAAATACAGCATTTCGTGCGTTCGCTATCTCTCCACAATGCATTTTGTATTGCGCCTGCGACGAAATCTGCACATGGAGGTGCACAAAGTGCTGTGCCTGCCACGAAATCTGCACATGGAGGTTCACAAAGTGCTGCACCTGCCACGAAATCTGCACATGGAGGTTCGCAAAGTGCTGTGCCTGCCACGAAATCTGCGCATGGATTTTTTCAAAGTGCTGCACCTGCCACGAAATCTGCACATGGAGGTTCACAAAGTGCTGCACCTGCCACGACATCTGCACATGGAGGTTCACAAAGTGCTGCACCTGCCACGAAATCTGCACATGGAGGTTCACAAAGTGCTGCACCCGCCACGAAATCTGCACATGGAGGTTCGCAAAGTGCTGTGCCTGCCACGAAATCTGCACGTGCAGGTTCACAAAGTGCTGTGCCTGCCACGAAATCTGCACATGGAGGTTCACAAAGTGCTGCACCTGCCACGAAATCTGCACCTGGAGCTGGAGTTGCCTGGAGCTTGAGCTGTTGAAACCAGAGCTAAGTGGAGCTAGAGCTATTGAAACTAAGAGCTTATTGGAGCTAGAGCTGTTGACACTAGAGCCAACTGGAGGTAGAGCAAACTGGATGATAAGTAGCGTATGATGAGTGGTGTATGGTGACTGGTGTATGATGACTGGTGTATGATGAGTGGTGTATGATGAGTGGTGTATGATGAGTGGTGTATGATGATTGGTGTATGATGAGTGGTGTATGATGAGTGGTGTATGATGAGTGGTGTATGATGAGTGGTGTATGATGAGTGGTGTGTGATGAGTCGTGTATGATGAGTGGTGTATGATGATTAGTGTATGATGAGTGGTGTATGATGAGTGGTGTATGATGAGTGGTGTATGATGAGTGGTGTATGATGAGTCGTGTATGATGAGTGGTGTATGATGAGTGGTGTATGATGAGTGGTGTATGATGAGTGGTGGTTGAACAGCTGTTGAATGTCCGTAACACGGAAGTTTTGCACACTAAACTTCCTTTGATTATCTAACTGATTGCACAACTTCTACACAATTCAATGTGCATCACTTGGCGCTTGTAGCACTTGTACACTCACTTATATATATATATATATAGCATTGCTGAATGTATTCCAACGTTGCTTTGACTGTGGTCGGGCAGACTGTCCCTCCATAATGCCATAACATCCAAAAATGATGGACTTCTAAACTGCCAGCGCCTCCCAGCTAAAGGCCCCTCAGCACCTCATCACACTCAACCGTACTTGCATGTACTCCAACTTTGGGGGTAGCAAGCGCTCTAGATTACATAATAAGTCATGCGATAATTCCCCTGCAAACTGTGATTCTTCATCCGCAGGTTTCATGAGGCAGAGAAGCTGCACACAGAGGTTTGCAAGAAGATGGAAGCGCAGTTTGGTGCGGAACATGGAGACGTGACGTCATCCAAGTTCAACCTGGCCCGACCCTCAGTCTCACTGCCTCCTTGGAACTTTTGGAGCATTGCTTTGGTGGTTGGTACTTGAAGCGCGCTCAAGGACTCCAATCATTCATGTTCAGCACATAGCAGAACTTGGACTGGGTACCGGGGTTGCGGCGCCTAGCGGGCCGAGCGACTCCTCACGTACGCACTCCCACGAGGCTGCATTGAAGGCCAAGATGGGGAGCTTAGCGCCTTGGACAGCGTAGTCACACAAGCCTCCCTCAGACAATCCATCATGGAAGTCGAACACATGTCACTGGATAACATCTTTTGGGAGAGTTTTTTCTTGGAGTGTTCTGCTCAGCTTCCAGGACGTTTGAGGGAGGTTCATTGGCGGGCAAATTCTTGAACCAGCTGCACCAAACCTGCCAGGGAGACCTGTGTTCTTATCCCAGATGGTGCTGGATTTGGTGCATCAAACCCATGTGGGATCACGGAACCAGACATGGTGCCAAATCTGATACCTTTTCCGCACCTGAAGTGGCCATGGAAGGCTCTTGACGCAGGCCATTTTTCAGGTCATTGATCTCCTCGTTCTCGACCCTCAACCCATCCCAACCCCTCGGTCTGCTCCGCTCGGGGCAGACCGCCTCTCCTCCGCGGTCTCCCAAGGAGGAGAGCGAGAAGATCTACCGTCAGGTCTTGGAAGTTCGTGAGCGAACCCTGGGGCCGCAGCATTCCAACACCTTGCGCGCCAAGTCCAATCTCGCGGACCCTGGGCCGAACTTCTTTGGAGACCAAAAAGAGTCCAAAAGAGAGGAAGACCAACACGGGTCCCCGCGTAATGGACGAGTCGCTGAAAGGTGGAGTATGCGGGACGTTGTGGGTTTGGTAGGCGACTTGATGGGATGAGTGAGATTCCAAGGGTGTGCCCAGCCCGAGGCCAGGGGTTACTATGACCATCTATGACCCACACCCATAGAAGATGTATGACCCAAATATGGTGCACCAAATCGCATCAATTCCTCCAGCTTTCAGTTCGGCGTGTTGTTCGGATGCACGTGAGAAGAACATCGGCGGGTTTGTTTCGCCCACTCCATCAGGGGTGGACTCAGGAGATCTTACGACGTCAAGAACGATTGGAGGATGCGGAGCAAATGCTGAAGAACTTGGTTGACCAGGCGCACGTCTCCTTCGGAACCTCGGATTGAAGGGATGGTCATCGCATGCCATCGCAAAAAAAGTAGGCACGGGTGTCCCCCATAAAAGCCAAGCACTTGGGGTTTTGAGCCGCGAGCCCGGAGTCCTGACGGAACGTATACACTCTGCATTGAATAGACCTGCAGGCTCTCTTACTGTCTTTGTCTTGCACGTTTCCGTGCGACGTGTCAAATGTTGTCCAATGCCTCACATCCCCTAGCAGGATCCTCCTCTCAGGGTTTGCCGAAGAGTTCGCCAGAGTGAATCCTCCTGCTGCTCGTCGGTGTCAAACACTCTCAAATGGACGGTCGATGGTCGACTGCAATCTAGATTTCCAGATCTGCTGAGGAAGGGATGACCCCACCACCCTGAAAGCACGATGCCAGCTGGCGCACATTTTGGCGGTGCAAGGGGACGAGACCCGACATCGACAAGCAGAAGCTCACCTGCGTGAGGTCACGTTTCGCTGTGATGGATTTGTTACATCGACTCGGAGTATCCTATAGGTCCATAGATGCCCATAGCTACACGCACATGCACCGTCCCAAACCCACCTGGTGATTCCGGAGAACGGTCATTTCTTGGTGATTCCGCTGCCAGGTGGTGTCACGTCGTGAGCAGAAGCTGGGTCCCAGCCATCCGGAGACCTTGACCGCTCTGGGCCGTTTGGCCTTCCTGTTGGAGTGCAGCAACCCTCGTGAGGCAGAGCAGTTGAACGAGCAGATCTGGCAGCGCTTGGATTCCCTGGCGCCTGCCGAGCGCCGCCGCGGCCGCAGTCGCGCGGGCGGCTTCCTACTGGGCCTGGCGGAGTTGGGCGAGCCCGAGCGCGAAGAGGCCTTGGTGCGTCAGGTCGCCGAGCGACGCTCCAGCACCTTGGGCGCGACCCATCCGGACACCTTGTCCGCCCGCGCGGAGTTGGCATCGATTTTGGGCCGGAAGGAGCTTCCGGAGGCACAGGCAGAGTCCTTGGCCTTGCGGCGAGAGGTGGCCAACTTGAGCGATTTGGACTTCAAGATCTTCAAGATGGATGTTCCATGATGTTCCTGTTTTTTTTTCTGTGAGGAGTTGCCAGAGGGGGCCGCATTGTTTGGATCTTATTTGGGGGGACAAACCTCCTCATGCTCACCTGCCACCAAGGTGAGACCTGCTTAGGGGCTGAGCATGTGGAGACCTTGGCAGCAAAGGCCGCCCTGGCAGGGGCCATTTTGAGGTCCCTGGGCCCGGAGGCCAACCTTGCCGATGTGAAGACGGCGCGAGCAGAGGCGGAAGAACTTCATCTCAAGGTGCGAACCTTCGACCCCTGGGTTCGGTGAAGGGAAATAGGCCAGTCTACCGTCTACCGGTTTGTTCCGGCACCAGCACCAGCACGGCAGCAGCACCCGCAAAACGAAACGCCGATCCAGAGCCAGCGCCTGCAGCCAGGGCCGCGGGGTCTTCTTACTGAATTGCACGGATGTTTGTTTGGGCGAGGGCGGCCAGAGTCGGACCAATAGGTGCTCATCCGATGGCGTGCAGGACTTGTTCAAAGGGGTTTGAATTGTTTTTCAATTCCAGGGAACGATTGAGGGTGTACACATTTATACATGCAGGTCACTATTTAAACTACACCGGGTAGGAGACAGAAGACCTCAGGCCACAGCTTGCAATTTTCGATGCTGCCATCACCGGGCGCAGGCGACGGCGCGTTTCAAAGCCGCTCAAACGCCGATGCCGAGCCCGACAATCCCCTCCTTCGCTGGATATGCGCCAGGGAGCAGTAAGATAGCCGTGCCTGGGCTGCCTTTCGTGAACTTGGTACTGGTACTCTTCGGGTCCTCGGGTTCTTGGCCAAGCCATATAATTTCTAAATGATATCCTCCTTACTTGTTCCACTATGAAATGCAGATGCCTTGTGCTTACAAAATGCAATTTCCAGGGGTGACATGCCACCTGAATGTATCAAGTGGCTGGAGGCTCTAGTCCGACCTGTGCCTCGCCACAAGTGGCATGCTCCTCCCCACCCAAGTTGTGGTATGCTTCGGGGCAGTGGGGTTCGCGTGGGATCCTTGGCACTGTGAAATGGTTATAAGACGGCAAGCGGCAAGCGGTCAGAATAGGTCTTTCAAGCTTGCCATCCTGAGGTTATTTTGCAGTGAGGTATTGTTAATGTAGATCATGCTTGCAATATCGCTGTCACCTTGTGCTTTTGTGTTGTGCTGGCGACTCTCTTTTGTCGTATTGTTCTTGGTAGAAGCCAGGAAAGGGACATGCAACACTGAAATGGAGGAGATGGAGGCCACAAGATTCATTGACACCCAACGTTTATAAGCAAGCCTGGCAAGCCTTGTTACACAGTCAATGTTCGGGTGTTGATCCTTGGCACCAACCAATGTAATCGGGTGCGATCATTAATCAGTACTAGCACTAAGAACCTGTACAAGTACTCCAGCCAAACACAGACAAGTGCGCAAGTGATGAAGCACTGCTGAGAGATGCATTTGCATACAAACTAGGCTCATATATGACATGAGAGCATGGTCTATCAAACCTCACATCCGATCAAAAGCATGGTCTAAGGTCTTGGCGCAAGGTTGAGTTGTTTCAAGAGCAGCGTCTCACCTGACGGGAGTGCTCCATCCTTTGAGAGCAGCCCTCCAGTCGGGGCCAAGGCCGAGTGAGGGAGAAGAAGCTGGTCAATCATGGACTTAGCCAAGAGCTGGCCAACCTGCATTCAAAGCTTTTTTACAATCTTCTTGTCACGTCCCAAAGCAGGAGTAGTCGACTTGGACAGATTTACTGATTTGCTACCTGAGGAGCTTGACCCCGGGGTTTCCACACTCGGCTGGGCGCCTAAAGTTATCCTCGCTTGAAACAAGCGACACCAGTCGCCCTTCAAAGAGGGGTGAGACTGGAAGCTATTCAGCCGTGACGGAAGCGATGAACTATGACGAATGTCCTTCTTTAACCCAGAGATGCCCAGAGTTTGAGAATCTGCGGTGACGACAGGTACTTTGGAACACGACAACTTGTATCAGCTTGATGTTAAATGGGTTGTGTGGGCGGATTTGGTTGCCCAATTCTTCTTCGACTCATCCACTGTCACGGACGTCGGAGGGCCCAAGGAGAAGATCAGTGAGTGTCGCGAGAGTCGTTGTGTTGGAGGCAGCTAGGAACTGTTAGGCACAAGGTCTTGGTCCACATGTATTCACCATGGGTTAGGGTAAGTTACAGTAAGGTCCCAAAATGTGGAGGTCCAACGAGCATATGGAAGGATGAATACTGAATCATAATTCATTGGGGGTGTGTCACGATTTTTCAGAGACCGGCCCAGTCATGTGAAGGACCCGTCCTTGCTCCGAGAACGAAGATAATGGAGATGTGACATGGACGAGTTCAAGGTCAAATGTGTGTGTGTTCCTTATTCTTTTTGAACATGGCCTTCGCCTACAACCACCTACCAGCCTGCCAATGGGCATGGGAACCTTGCACGGGTTTGGTGTTGTGGCATTGGCCCACACCACACTTCCAGACCACTTTGGCATATGTTCGCCATTTTCGCCTCTTCCCATGTGTATCCATTTGTACCATTGGCTGGTTCATTTTGCCAGATTACCCTTCCCCAACGAACCAACCAGATGGTGCCCAGACCCTGTGCCCTGCGCTTTCGGCGTTCGGCGAACGCGCGGCGGAGGTGTCAGAGAGCGCTCGGCTGAGCTCGGCTGAGCTCGGCCCGGGCAGAACTGAAGAAGCATCCAGCACAATCCTTCCTTCCCAAGACCCCAACAAGGCCACCTACCGCGCTTATTGTCCTCCAAAGATGGACAGGTTCGCTACTAAACCAGCGGATTCCAGGAAGGGTTGTGTTTTCTTTGTGCATGTGGTGGGGGAAGGGCGCACTTGCTCAACTTGCATGGATCTAGCATGGCTGGTTGGCTGGAGGCTTGGAGTAGGCTTGTGGCCCGGGTTGCCCAAATTTTTGGTGTGCCGTGTCGTGCATAGAAAATCCATGAAAATCCGCCTACGGTATGTTTTGTCGAAAGCCATGGTTTAAGTCTATGTTCACGCATCTCTTTGTAGGATTTTGTAGGACTTCTTGTGTTCGCCCACTCTTGTGGAGGTGCTGCGTCGAGTCAGTCACAGGTTGTCAGGCCTCTCCGACTGCTTCTCGTCAGCCGAAACTGGTGCTTTTTTCCTCGAAAGTTCTGGACCCAGCCTTCCGCCCTGCCACTTCAGCGGAATTCAACGCCTTGGAACCTTGGGTGTTGATTGAACACCTCGATCTTTGCAAGTAAACTAAACCCTACACATTTTCTTAGGCTAGGATATGTACTAGTGTGTGCATCCTTTAGTGCTGCTGGTGTCCTCATTAGCCGTGGGGCCCACAAAGGGAATGTGACTCTTGCAACTTGTAGTTAGGCTGAATTGAAGTTTTGGACTCCCAAACAACCTCAAACATTTGGGCTGCCCGTCTCTCATTTTTCGCAACTCCATCTCGATTTGGGCTCAAACTTGGCCTGGCATGGTCAGAAGATCAGGCCCTTTCCGTCGGACCCGGGACCTGTACCTGTGGGCCGGGCGTGTTTGCATATGACGGTGCCGGGGCCTCAGGATGTAGACAGGGTTGAACATGGTGAAACGCTACATTTCTTGGTAGGCGCACGTAGAATTCGGCATTGAATGTCCTTTTTATATAATTAGGCAGGCCTGTTTAAGTGGGGATTTATTGGCGATTGACAATGCTGATGATGGTAGAAGTTCTACGGTTGAGATCCTACTTTTGTATGGACGTTCTAAGGAAGCAGCTACATGAAAACGTATCAATTACTGTACAAACTTCTTGAAATCATAAAAACTGCCATGCCATGTTCATTCATGTTCCTTTGTTTTTCTTAAATTGTCATAAATGCCATGAACTATGAACATGATACGGTTGATGGACAAAATCCTGCACCACTTTGTGCCCGTGTCTCTTCCTACCCTCGTGCTCCCTCTTTAAAATGCCGAGTCTCGTGCGAAAACAAGAAAAGTTGAAAGTCGGAAATCCTGCACCACCTGGTGCGAGCCCTAGTACCAGCACGAAGTCCTATTCCGCAACTCTCCATTTTTCTGAAACGTTTCTTCCGCAACTATTTTGGGATCTTCAGGAACTAATTGGTTTTGTATATTTTTGGCGTGTACTTCCTGATGTAGTGGTTGGAAGTTCGACTTGAGCGATTCATACCCTCGAATCATACCTCGAATCGTACCCCCGAATCATAACCCTCAAAACGTTACACGTAAAAACCAGGTGTTAAGGTGAAGTTTTTGGTTGGTCTTTGTGCCTTGAAGATGTCCAGGAGCCAATGGTGCATGATGTTTGCAATTGTGTGATCCATGGGCACTCAATTTGGCCAAAATTGTTTGTGTCTTCTTGTGGGAAGAGCAAAGGCTCACTCCCAGGCGTACTCATAATGTTCCCATGTGCTCTCCCTTGGGAAGAAGAGCCAAAGGACCGCCTTCTTTTGCAGAATCTAATGATAATCGCCATACGAATCACACCGATTCACACCCGAATCACTCACCTCCACACAGTCTCCCACCCATCGCCACTGGAGTCTTTGGTGGAAAAGTGCATTTGCCTAGTCTGCCCAGCATCCAACAGATGCTGCTTGCCGATTGCCTACTGCCTCGGCGCAGAGTGGGCCCACTGCTGGAAGTCCAGCTAATCCAACAATACAACTTCAAAGCTGCGAATCATCTGCGAATCATACCACCTATTCAAACTTCCCGGCCCGACTACGGTAAAAAGAATACACACCCATTTTGCGATCTTCAGAAACTATTTCGCGATCTTCAGCAACTATTTCGCGATTTTCGGAAACTATTTTGTGATCTTCAGAAACTATTTTGCGATTTTCAGAAACTATTCCGCGATCTTCAGAGACTATTCCGCGATCTTCAGAAAGCCAACTTTAGAAAGTATTCCTCAGAACTTTTACAATATTTTACAATGTTGCAACCAATTTGCATGAAGGAGGGCTGGGTGGGTGGGGGGGTAGGTGGGTGGGATATTGACCTACCTTGTGACGGCTACGGTACAAAAATGCTTGTGTTGCGATCTGTAGTTTCCGAACATTAGTTTCTGAAGAACACCGTGGAGTTTCCGAAGATTAGTTTCCGAAGAAAACCTTAAAGTTTCCGAAGATCACTTTTGAGTTGCCGAATTTAAGTGTCCATGTAACAGTTTCCGAAGAACACCATAAAGTCTCCGAAGAAAACCGCATAGTTTCCGAAGAAAGCCGTAAAGTTTCCGAAGATCACCTTTTAGTTTCCGAATATAACTTTGACCCCTAGTACCAGTATGGACAAATTTATGGTTCTTGTCCAGGGGTCATTTTCCTTTATGTGCTTTATACGCATTTAAAAGTTTTGGTCACATCGGTTTCATCAAAATCCTAGTGAACTCATCCAAGAAAAATCAATGCTCTTGATTTTTTCGCAAGGCTTCTCAGATCTCAATTCTACGGATCTTTTGTGTTGTCTCGTGCCTCTGCCCCGTCTTCGCAAACATGGAAGTGGGGCGGCGCAGCTCGGGCGAGCCATCCTTGGTCACCAGATGGACAGGATCATTGCTTGTGCGATGAACGCATTGTACCACTAGTTGCTCAGAATTTGTTGCACCACGGTCCTCCTGTCAAGGGGGCTTCTGGTGCGGTTTCCTCTCTATCTAATCTAAGCTCCTTCGCTTTCACCAAAGGTTGAAGCCAGTGCTTTCAGATGGACGTTCATCCAGAATCCAAACATGTTCCAGCTGCTGGTTCGGCGAACTCCAGGAGACGGCGCTCAGATGAAGAGATTCAGTCTCAAGTTCCAAGACCTCACAAAGTTGGTGCCCGAAGCGGGGCCTTCTATGGCCTTTCCATGGCGCCTGTCTCCCTTTCTCTCCCTTTCTCTCTCTCTCTCTCTCGCTCACTTGGTTGTTCATTCGCTGACAAGAGTGCGCCTTTCCTTCCGTTTTGAGGGGGCCCTGTCCACAAAGACGGCCTGACAAAGTCAAAAAGTGTGCATACATTGGATAGCCCCAAATACTTACGCTTAGGACGTGGAAGGTTTTCTGGAAGAAGTGCTGGTGCTGGAATGAAGGTGTTGTTTTTGGTGAGAACGTGCTGATGCTGGAATGAATCAACACTGCCAAAAGCCATGCAAGGCATCTCACTGACACTTTTCTTGCCCAAATTCACACCACAATGCATCAGGATTCAGTACGAGCTTACGAAACATCCATGGACTCCGCTTCCGAGTGCGATCACTTTCCAAATCTTGACTGCTGGACAAAAAAGATCAAAAAAGCTGGACTCTCAAGAGAGGTCTCAGACTGCTGCCCGTTTGATCTTTTACGAGCAAGTCTGTCAAAAGAAAATATCGTCGAATGAATGAATGAATGAAATGAATTACAGTAACTGAGATGAAATGACATGACATGAAATGAAATGAATGGATGAGAATCCAAAGAAATACGGAAAGCAATCCCCCGTAGAATATCTACTACAGAATGGATAGCCATGTGGCCAGTATAAATCCGGATTTTATATAGTTGACTTTGAGGGTGCCTGGGAGGGGATGGGGCCTTTCAATTTGTAGACCTGTGATGTTTAATTCCCGGGGGAATGTAAAAATAGAGTCTCGGCCACCGGCATTTTGTGTAAGGAAATTGTGTTACATTTTCTAAGCACTCCGGGGGGTAGGCTAGACATTTTGTAGTGAGGCCACTTTAGTTAAAAAAACGTTGTAGTAACCTCATTTTTGTACGATTATGAGAGATGTTATAAAATTGGCTATACATGGTTCAGACCCATTTGGGCTCAGAGGGTGCGCAATAAAATCAAAGATTATCAGAGAACAAACAATAATCACATAACATGAAAGAGAAAGACGTTGGAAACACCTTGGACACAACTCGTACCAATATAGAAACCAAAGATCATAATAGCGGCAGCAGTCAAATAAATAGCCGGAAGAG